ATGTCGGCCATTTTGAATTTTCTTGGGTTAATTATACGCGAACGCATACATCAAATATCGCTCGCAACGTATTGTATATTGCAATATTATTCCAACAGCTCAAATGAATAAAAGAATCATTGATTGATGTCTTTGCACATAATCATAATGGCTAGTAGGAAATGAACATTTGGAAATGAACATAATGGCTAGTAGGAAATGAACGTTTGTGCTTCGCCAGGTCACGAATGCTGCGTGTGCTGAGTTTCAGGGGATGAAATATCGAATGACTATCGATTCCGTTAAAATTTCCATTGGCAAAATATAATAGAGAGTTCGGCAAATACAAGGGCAACCGCAACGGCGATATATGGTCATTAACAATAGCATTAATCCTCAAAGACAAAGGCGAATGTAAATTACATGGTTTTAAGCGTTGTGCAATGCCGTAGTTGTTGAAACTAATACGTGATTTGCATCATTTTCACGGTGCATGACTACGGCAACAATTCATTCGTTCGATGTTATTTGAGAGTTTTATTGAATTCGCGGACTATTTTTATTTAAGGGTACGTTTGAAAGAAACAGGAATACTTAATGAGGCAAATTAAGTGTAGTAACGTATACTTTGGCTCAAATACAACAATATAAACAATTATATTTTCCTCGTTGCAGTTGCCGTTCTAGGTTGCCAAACTCTTTAATATAATAATTCTGGACGTAGGTTACAGCTATAAAATAAGCACAAGTGAATACGAAAGAATAAACAAAGAAATTCATCGAGGCATGCTAATAAGCGTCTAAATCTCTAAGGATGCAAAATAATAAATTACGACATGCCAAAAAGATCAGGTTCCAAATTGTGACAAGAGTTAATTAGCTAACAACCCTCAAATGTTCATTAGATAGCTACTACAAATATGTGTAAGAACTTCAAGCAATGATCCTCTACTTATTTGAGCTGTTGGAATATTGCAATATACAGTACGTTGCGAACGACATTTGATGTATGCGTTCGCGTATAATTAACCCAAGAAAATTCAAAATGGCCGACATATATATATATTCGAAGGTCAAACTTTTCTGGATCCAGTGTATATGTATATATATATATATATATATATATATATATATATATATATATATATATATATATATATATATATATATATATATATATATATGAAATATATATATATATATATATATATATATATATATATATATATATATATATATATATATATATATATATATATATATATTGGTATATATATATATATATATATATATCATTTGTGTCGGTTTTCTTTGATCGTCCGAGGTTTATAACTATCTAATATACCTTGAATAAATAATTACATCAAACTTTTCGACAAAACGCGAGAATTTTTCATCAAAAATTTTTGAAAATGACAAAATATGTTAGAAAACCTCCACAAATGAGATATAAGTTAGTTCTAAACCTCGAAAGTCGGTTTATAACTGATATCAGTTATAAACCTCCTTCTCAGTTTATAACTCTATGTTCTAATTCGTCAGTAAAAAATCTCATCAGTTGTTCGCCATCTTTAAAATTTGAAAGATGGCGAACAACTGATGACGTTTTTTAACGAAATATATTTTGTGAGCCATTTGTAGCAAATATTTTTAAATAATCAATTTAAGCAAAGCTATAAATTGCGGCTAATGCATGGAGTAATATGTTCTAAAAGACTCAGTATTTGACCGAGGGTATTTTCAGTCCGCCAACACATCTGCGTCACAAAAAAAACCCAGCCACCTCCCAATAATCATGTACACCAAGCTGCGTTTCTACAATATGGCGTGTTGTAAGGACTGTTATAGTTAGTAAAATGGATACTCCTGATATAGCTAAGCATGTTACTCATAGATTTGTAACCCACTTGTGTGAAGAAATGCAATAAATAATTATTAATGGCAGGAAATCGCAATCACTGCTCATTCAGGTGTACTGATGACCTGAATGAGCAGACCTAGAGACTCGATGTGGTCAGTCAGGTTATCAGTTGCGGCCCGGGGTAATCTGCCCTATACCAATAGTTGTTCACCAGTCCAACTAGGTCTCCATGTCGACGACCTGACGGATCTGAATGGGGGTCTGTCTGTTCCCCTGTTATCTAGAGGCCCGCCTGTTCCTCTAGAACAACCTACAGTTTTTGCATGTATCCTCAGCCAGCTTTGCATGAGTACCCTGGGTAATGTGCCCTATACCAATAGTTGTTCACCAGTCCAACTAGGTCTCAACTCGCTGAACGACATGCACAGAGTCAAGCATGCCCTCTGCAGTCTAGAGGTTCGCCTGTTTCTCTAGATAAAACTTAGGTTAGCGAGAGCCTCAGACAGTTCGACCGGAACTGTTTTCGAGCACTTCTCTGCCCTAAATATATGCCACAAAAGTTACTGTTGTCTTGCTTTGTCGCCAGTTGTTCGATTTTAACTATTTGTCTCTTTCCAACATATTCAACTTCATTAATGTATAAATAAATTTTTTAGTCGTTCGTAATTGTCTGCCATATATATAAGTGCGTTTAAAGAGAAAAAAACAAGGAAGAAATGTTAGTAATTAAAAGATTTTGTTTGAACTCTTTCCTGGCTTCGATAAACGAACTTTGAAACAGTATATAGATGATACAAAAACTATAAAAAGTACAGTAGTGTAGCATACAGAAATCCTGTGCCAACAGCTTCAAAATTATTCAAGTAAGAAAATATTTTCATTCTTAATTTCAGTGTCATCCTACTGTCCAACACCAGGTATGGATTATCCGATTACTTTTTTACTTAATCTATACTTGAATTAATGTTCATGTTAATTTTGTTTATTTAAATAGTACAGCAACTTCTTCGAAACTTTCGAAGGATGCATCACTCCAAAAAACAGCGAGTTTTCTACGGATCTTTTTCAGTTATGGAAATCTGGGGGTTGAGGTCTTCATGAATTTAATAAGGGATCGGAATTTTCATGCAGGGATTTTCAGAAATTTTAGAATTTGTTTTAGTATTATATTGCGACTTACGACATTTTTTCGAGTCATACGCCCTTGGACCTCTTGCACTTCTAACACAGTCATATATAACCTCTTTCATGGACTTCTTACATGATCTACGGCCAAGAAATTTATGTATTTTACTCTGTCTAACGCCAGACGATTCTCTCGATGAGTACTATAGAGTCACTTCACGGATACCAATTTTATTCAACAGTCAATATTAACCCTAGTTTGAACATAAATATTATGTCTGGTCGGAATATGAATATTTCTGATAGGAGTATGAATATTTGTTAAGAAATGTTCATGTCCGGGCAGAGGTTTCAGGCATAATGGTATTTTGACCAATTTACTTTTGTTAGTATTTTATTGTTAGGTTGAAATGTGGGTATAAACCATCTTACGTTTGCTGCAAGATTAAGTACTTGGGCAGACAGCCAGTATTTGGGTATATAATTGGTATTCTGGTAAACCCCCAGCTTGAATAGAAATTCGTTTTGTTTATTTTATCTTAGCTCCACAAGACAACAACAAAGATAATGATTGTAAAAGTGACGATGATGATGATGATGACACAGTGATTGTATTGGTGTCTATTACTATGGTATTGCTGGTTTTGTGTCTTATTGCATTGATCGTTGCCATTTGGTCCGTGTATAGAATGTAAGTAATCAGATATAATGTAGACCACTGAGCGCGTAAGATTGTTAATATGTGCAAGTTGTGAACCCACCATGAAGTATGAGTTGTTTTTTTTATGAGTATAGAGATGAGAAGAAGATAAATATTAAACATTGACACTTTGACAGGCTTGCAGAGAACAAGATGGAAGCGAAGATTTGTCTTCTGGCCTTAAAACAAATTTCTTATCGTTTTTTCTTCAAAACGACATTTCTCTTTAGTTTTTTTTAACATTAAACAATTATTGGATGAGGCTGAGCATGACATCAAGAATTATTCAGACCTCGGTCAATGCAGGGTTTATTTTAAGAAAAAATTGGAACTGCACATATTAAGGATGTTACGAAGCATCACGTGTTTGACTGGGGGGTTCAAAGGATTTTTATCTATATTTAACGTTGTAAATTATGATAGACTCTTAATTTGTATATAGGTGGCAGAATAAAGGTGTGGTTGGGTGGGGCCAGACAAACTGGGTGGGGAGCTACAGGTAGGAGGTGTCCCCCAAATTTTGAATTTAGAGGCTCGTAAGTTCTGGCAAAGATTGGTTTCACCCAACCGGCCAACCACCCACAAAAATTGTTTCAAAACATGTAACTGGGAATCATGAATACTCAATATATAATAACCTTAGGCAGCAAAGAATATTAGGTTCTCCCACTCTAATCTCTTTTAGATAGCTTCGCTCACACCAATTTTATCTCCTGTTCCATTACCCCCAGCACGTATGTGATTTGTGAGGAAAATATGAGGGTCTGGTGGTCCTTTTCCAGAAAACATTTAGATTTTTGATGCTCATTGACAGCATTTCTGGCATCTGGAGCATCCACAAGGAAAACGAGTAAATGAGAAAACTGTTTTGAGGTTATATTTTTGTTAATTTGGTAACTGTACATTTGAGTTTTAAGAACTGCACAAATAGGTTTAGAACTGCACATTTTGTGTAGAACTGCACGTTAAAATAAACTCTGGGTCAATGTTATCTGCCGAAGCGAGGCTGGGGCGGATAACATTAACCGAGGTCTGAATAATTCTTGATGTCATGCGAAGCCGAATCCAATAATTGTTTTATTATACATTTAAATACATAGGAAACGTACAAAACGATTAAACGAAGTTTACTAATGTTTCAAGTGTATTATTTTATTTTCGCGCGCTTTTGGGTTCGAGTTGTTGGCCGCGCTGGGAATGGGCACGACAGCATCCAATTTTTTTTTTATGCAAGTTCGATCCAAAAAGCTATTATTGGAATAAGTACCGAATATTCAAAATTATCCTCTCTGACCAATCAGGAACGAGAATACACCTACTAAATGTATAATAATATGCGTTTTCTTCATGATAATAACGCTTTGTTGTTAGCCATAAATTCAACAAACAAAAAATCCCAATGCCATTATGCCATGTTTACAATTATGACGAAAAAACCTCAGCCAATCCAAACGCTGAGACTATAACCTTTCATGCACACGTTACTGAAATCGTCTCAGTCGTTGTGCCACGCAGTTTTTACGGATTGGTACACAGAATGGTGCAAATGTTTCAAGCTGTAAAATTTGTTTCATAGAAATTGAAAACAATTAGTTACTAGACATTTTTATGACATCATATCACCAGTGTTCCACCCAAATCCCAGCAAGAGAATCAGAGAAGCAGAACTGTATGAATGTCAGAACCTGAAAAATATTTATAGTTTAATATTGAAGGTTTTTGTAGATGGAAATTTTGAGTGTAAATATTATATACAATTACTAGATCTAACCAGAAGCGGTTGCGGGAAAATGTAACTATCTGCCCTCGGAAATCGAACCAGTGGCCCTGCGATTCCAGTGCATATAGATATCTTATGTACACTAGATAGCGCATCTCTTTTAGTAAAATTGAAGCCAAGAATATTCCAGCGGTTACCCCATTTGAATAGATGGCGGCCATTTTGAATTTTCCCACTCGCTAATAAACGCTTAAATTAAAAACAAGAATAACTTTCATCATTTGAATAGTTTGAAAATGTATTTGGAATAGGTTTAACTCAATGTTTAAGTCCCCTGTTTAAGAAATAGAAAACATACGAGTCTTCTCATTTCATGGGAATATCCTGAGTCTGCAATTACGGCTTCAATTTTTGAATTGCAGAATAATTAGATGCACTATATCTAGTTATATAAGATATTTATGTTCCAGTGCAGTACCATAGATATCTTATATACACTAGATAGTGCATCTAATTATTCTGCAATTCAAAAATTGAAGCCGTGATTGTAGTCTCAGGTCGTTCCCATGAAATGAGAAGATTCGTATGTTTTCTATTTACAAATACGTTTTTAAACTATTCAAATGATGAAAGTTATTGTTGTTTTTAATTATTACATAATAAGTTATTAAGCGTTTATTAGCAAGTGGGAACGACCAACATGACCGCCATCTATTCAAATGGGGGTAACCGCTGGAATATTCTATTCTTGGCTTCAATTTTACTAAAGAGATGCACTATCTAGTGTATATAAGATTGATATCTTATTAAGATATCTATGTTCCAGTGCAGTACTATGAATAGTCACACTCGAAATTTCCATCTACAAATCCCTTCAACAATTAGTTCTATCGATTGAGATGCCCAAAATCCTGATATTTAGAGTTTAGTTAATTGTTAAATATTAATATCAAAATCAATTTATTCACATAACCCGCATCTGTTAACGGCCGGTCATTATTTATGGCGGGGGTGGCACCGAAGAGAAATGTTTTTCGTGGTAAAAATTTTGCTGACCCAACCATTAGAAAGTCAAAAATTTGATTACCCAACCTCAACTGTCAATTAAAAAATAAATACCCACCCCTAGCCAAAAACTTTACAAAAGGATACCTTTACCACTTCTGTGACATGAGTTTGATAACGGCTTTCTGCAGTCTAAAGTTTTATATTGTCTGCACATGTTGTTTCTTTGGAGACACCATTTGTCTCCCATGCAACAAATCGGAAAATGATCAAGATAATGACTCTGAGTGATTCACATATTGTATCTACATATGACTGTTGACATTGCTTTTTAGTCTTCAATATTTGAATGAGTGATGCTTTGGAAATGACAACAATTTTTTATGACCCAACCCTTGAGTTGTTTTGTTTTTCATTTACCCAACCTTTTACTCACTCAAAATTTTGTTTACCCAACCCTTTTCTCTTCGGTGCCACCCCCCGCCATAAATAATGACCGCTCCCTTAAATGTAAATATACTCTTCTCTTTGCAGGAAAATGTACCAATAATATATTAATCGTGATGAATTGAAATTTGAAGAGATCATGTATACTGAGTACAATATAGCAACTGACGAGTAATATTCGTGCTAATTACTGTACGGTCCCTCATATGTAGTAATGATATAAATTCTTGTTCTACTCCATACTCTCTGCCTTAGGCCTGGTTCAAACATCGTATTTTGCATGTGTCATATGCAATTCGTATTAGATTCGAACAAACTACATGCAAAATTCGACGCCCTTTTCAAACGTCGAATTTTGCATGTATTGAATTCAGTTCGGTTTGCATGGGCGTTGTCTGGGATGGCGTAAAGCTCGGGACAAGAAACCATATTAAGAGCTTCGTTTATTAGAATATTAAGGCAAAATTTGAAGTGTTTCCTATAAAGAATATATACCTAAGCTCATTCAAAGAACATCTTTCTTTGGAGAGTATGAAAAAATGCTATATGCTGTGATGAATCTATTACATGCAACTGCAAAAGTACCTAGCTTATTAGCTAAGAATATTTTAAACCTAAATTTGTCGATAATAAAAATGTCCAAAAATTTCGTAGCATTTCAATAACATTAAATTCGACACGTGCAAAATGCAACGTCTGAAACCACGTCGCACTTTGCTCGCATTATACGACACCGTACCACTCGAATTTAATTAGAAAAGTTAAATTTAATTTAATTGTTTGTATGTACATAATTCAGCATCGATATTTTTGCACAAGGAACTTCATGCAGGATTTCAACCTCGTATTCAGACTATACTTCTCATATTCAAAAGCGTCCAGCTGGTTATTTGTGATCACGTGGCGCCGCTCATTGCGCACCAATTAGCCTTTCTCACGCCGCCATTTTTGGGTGGCATTTCAGCTGAAGTTTGTGCCGATAAGTCCATATAACAGCGACTTTTTATAATTTTTTGGACGAATGATGGTAAATTTGCTTATAAATGGTTAGTTTATTTTAAAAAATTGCTTTTCACATTGTTTAATTGTCTGCATTGGATAATGAAAATTTGATGCCACCCAAAAATGGCGGATATTCGTCATCGTGAGAAAGGCTAATTAAATCATGTGACCACAAATGACCAGATACATTTATTCATCAGGTTTTTTCATATGCCTTCAGGAGTTGTTGTTTAGAATATTAAGAATAAATTAATTTTAAGTTTACTTGTCGAACAAACAAACAAACTTTATATAAACCTCTGAACTATTGCAAAACACATGCAACAAATTGATACATAATTATACGATATAATTTGCCAGCTCTTCCCAAGATGAGCAGCAGACGACGGTGGTCATAATGAGAATATAAGGTAAACTCGTTTCATTAAAGCGTGTTGTCTTATGTTGTGTACCAGGTCGAAACTTCGGTATTACGGCTGGGGTGAGCTTGTTGTGCGAGTATTATGCTCTGTGCATGACCATGCATGGGTTTTTTATTATGCTCTGTGCATGTACTGTGGTACACGATCAGAGACGCCAGAACTGGGGGGGGCAGGAGGGGCAGCCGCCCCCGTTGCCCTTTACCAGGAGGGGCAAGGGGGGCAAAGGTGCCCTTTCAATTTAAAGGATTGCCTTGGCGAAATAGCGAATTGTCAGAAATGTTAGTGCAATTCTTTTACGAATTTGCTTCAGAAAACGCAAGAAATGCAATCATCGAGCTTCAAGAATAAGCACGATCGCCTGTCGGAGAGCCCCCTCACACCCCTATCATCCAATAAATAGAAAACATGATTAGGCGAAGTTCAACTCCCGATGTTTTGCAAACATCTCTTAGTATATATCATTATTCAAAAGTGCCCTTTCACGAAAATCTGCCCCCCTTGCCTTCACATCGTTCCGGCGTCCCTGTACACGATCCGGGTCATCTGGCCATAGACGTCGCGTGCTTATAACAGTCATCCGTAAGTGCCATGGATAGTTTCAATGCAATGGAATAAGTTTGCATACACGTACCAAGTACGTACACTGATGTAGAATAATCAAACAACTATAAAGTATTGTTGATTGTATCTTTATGTTTTAGTCGGTTAGTCGACTGAATTTCGCTTTTTCTATGCAAAACTCATATTTTGGTTTCATAATATTTTGGGAGGGAAACTATATTAAGTAAAGGCTGTCAGTGCAATGCCATGCATAGGATATTTTCAAATCTCTTCGATATTGCAAGTTTAACAGATCTGGAGTGCAGTTCCTCATAAAACATTAAACAGTTTATTTATTAAGCTTTGAAACTCAAGTCATGTAAAGTAAAGTTTACATACAATGGGGCATGTTTACGACAGGTTTTACACCCAACAAGGTAAATTTCAAAAGAAAGAAAAAAACGTCTATATATAGTATAGTATTCGAATAGACTATTTACAATAATTTTTATAGTACGTACGTCTTATACGAACACAGCGTATGTAATTATCTGACAGTTTACGACCTGTATATACATGCATGCGTATACACACACAGGGAACCCATCCCGGGTCTTATTGAAGTTATGTATTAGAATTACGTATGAAATATATAGCTCAGTGTTGAAGCCTGCAATTTGCGGGCTGTGTGCGGGCTAACGCGCGCGTTGAATATATCGCAGGCTTCAACACTGTCACTGAGTTATATATTTCATACGTAATTCTAATACATAACATAATAAGATCCGGGATGGGTTCCCTGTGATATACATAGACTTGCCCACAAGTCGCGATCTCGAACGAAAAAAAAACTGGAAAGGACTTTGGGAAAGTCTATGATACACAGTGTGCATGTAGCTATATGCATGTATACATGTCGAAACTGTCAGATATAAAATCAATAAAATTATTAAGGACGAAACTCGAAAGGACGATGAAGCCAGATTTCGTGAGTGTTCGAGAATTTGAAACAAATAGATTCAAGTTGAAGTATTATCAGGATGACTATGAAGTATTGTGATGGTTATACAGTGGCAGAGCAGTGTAAACTGAAGGATAATAATCGATTTCACTATCGCTGAATTTACAATTTTCCAACATTCGGGCAATGAGCGAGTGCAAAATTGACTGAATCGTTAGATGTATATGTTAATTAAAAAAGTTGTTATCCGTTGTTGCGGTCAGAAACGCATTCAAAAGTCAGTCCCCAGATCAGTGTATATGATTCTAAACTGACTTATATAGTGGATTCAATGCTCTGTACTCTGTAGAGATCAACTGATATAATTAAGGCTTTCTTTGAAACTGAAAGTTTTAGTTTCTTTATTCCTTTAAATCACAAAACCGATCGGCATCTAACCGCGGAAAGCCGACAATAGACCATTTTCATGATAATATTTGTCAAGTTTATGTGCATCTGTATTACTGTATAAGCCTTCTTGCATGCACTTGTTTAATTTGGGTTCAAAAAAATTCTATTCAATACAATTTTACTGTTTCAAAAGAATAACTGCTACTTGAACTTATTTATGAACTGAACCACTGAACCACACTAAATTTCAAACACTGCTTTTTGTAACGTAAAACTTAACATGATTTAAAAAATCAATCTTCACTACGCTTGTAGTTATGGACTGGTGCAATATGTAATCGAGTGTGATTGTGTGAACACATACGGGGGAAGTTGCGATCAGTTTCAAGTGCTTTTTAGGTCGCACTTCCCGAACAAAATTTGCTGGGGCTTGAAATCCCGCCCAGTCTTTATGCACTTCGGATGTGAAACATTGCGTAACATAAATTGTGGAAACGGTATTTTTTTTACTTAATTTGCACATGTTAATTCTTCACGGGGAAAAATTCTGGGGAATTTCACCCAAATTCCGGCTCCGGGAGTATTTTCTAAGTCACAAGTCGATAGGATTACAAATTTCCATGTTAAAATCTTTCATTTTGTGGTAGCGAAAGAATATAACTGTGTAAATTTCGTTTTTGGGAAAAGCATGCATTATTTTAAGTTTCATTTTCGATTAGCCTTGAATATTTATCAAACATTGACGAACAACGAATCTAGCTTTTGCTTTCGTAAAGATGGTCGAATTAGCTAGCGGGGTTCTTAGACTACTGTAGCTCTAATTAATTTATAGCCTGCAAACAGGCGCTCGCAGGCAAATGTCTTTAAATAATCTCAGATCGTTGTTTTCATGCGATCATAATCAGACAATCAGTGTAATCATGCACGCAAAACGGACTACAATGAAGAATGCACTCTTTCAGTTCAAGATACTTCGGTTAGATCAAGCACAATGTTGCATAAACAGCTGCACTCTTAAGGCCCACACAGACCGGACGCGACTTGGCAACGCGACGCGAATTTTCAATTTTCAATGACATTTAACTTTAATATTTTTCTATGTTTTTCAAATATTCGGAACCACTTAAGCAATTTTAGCTATTTTGTCTGCATATCTTTATATAATTTTTATCCGTTGACAGTTTTATTTGCTTTTGAAAACTGAAAATTCGCGTCCCGTTGTCGAATCGCGTTCGGTCTGTATGGACCTTTAGCCTTTGAATAATATATATACTTAGTATACTGTAATCTTTAGTGCTTAATGGTTCACAATAAAAGTCGTATGAGTGGCTTATTGGCTCATTGACATTGGATCAAATAAATAATACTTATTTGTTTCTGTAATTTGACACGGATTCGGTTGTCTCGAACCCCCGGACACCGCGGTATCTCACAATTTTACTTTCAATTAAAAATAATAAAAAACAAAAATGATCATATTTTATATTGAATATAAAATGCGGCCCTGATTTACAGTTCATGTTTAGAACTCGATTCACGGTGAACAATTCAGTAAGGCTGAAAAGATGGAACCTTTAATCAGTATTGATCAGTTAGATGCAGGTCCAGTATACTTCTCTAGATCTCAACTCAAATCATGGTTTTGGTCCAATTCCTGAGAAACGGAAAAAGCGAGCTGCACTGCTATCAGCTGCTTTGTCATTTGTCATAATGGTAGTTCTCCTTGGAGGTTTCACGCAACCAAAATCCAAGCTGTACGTGGCCAACACGAGCAGAACAGGTGACGATGAAATGATATGCAAGAAAAACGACCGTGAGTATTACCATGTAGGAGTTTTTATCTGTTCTTTGAATTTGATCGGTGTTATTCTTGGGGAACTCATAAATCGGTTTTGTCTCGTGTTCGAGGAATATTTTCATCTTTATACTCGATACAGTGGGAGTAAAAAGGAAATGTTTTATGTATGTTTCAATGACATTTCATTCCGCGCTGTGTTGTTTGGTTTTCTTGTTGCATTCATTATCATCACTACAACACTGCTATCACAAGGAGCTGACTATTTTAAGTTCGAGTACATTGAAATCATCCTCAGTGGGGTTGGCAGTGGTTCCTTTGTTCTATACCTTCTCAGTCTTGATGCGTTATTCCGAGTTCAAATCTTTTCGCTGATGGAAAGTAACAATCGCTTAGTGGCAAACGGTTTCGCATGGTCATACTACTTCGGTTACTTAAAGATTATCTTGCCTGATTTGCAGGAACGGATTGAGGATTCGGAATGGAAGGATACTTTGTCATCGAAGAAGCTGTTCATTTTAATGCCTCGTGAATGTTCAGTTCATACGTCACTCAGCAAGGAAGACAATCATATTGAGATCGTACCTGGAGCAGTTATTGAATATGAACTTCACCGTGCGGGAGTATTAAGGCTTTACCGTCTTAACGTTTATAAGATAAACAGAAACGATGGGAAATGTCCACTTTATGTGCTGGCCCATTACGCATCACCCTTCAGCTCCTTATATGATATGGGTCACTCGGCTGACGTGAAGCTAAGTCGCGAGGATCGAGACGAGCAAGCAAAGTTATTTCTTCGAACGCTGGAAGCAATATTACAATATCCGTCGGAACCTGAAGTTCAAAATAACTGCAAACTCGTGCCCTATGCAAGAAAGTCGGAATTACATTTGTCTGAAGTGTTAGCGGAAGCTGTGTTGGAAGATATGATGGACAAAAGTAATCAGTCTTCTGAAATTTCACTGGATGGAGTGAAACAAGATCATAAAGAATTAGACATCATTTGACAAGTTCAAAACTTTAGTTTCATTGTGTGCTATGTGCTTTAGAAGATTGTGCGGAATGAACTATTAGATATAGGCCGAACGGTTAGTACTGCATGTACATTCTCACATTTAAAAGGCTATGTTTTATTCATAATTTTAGATTGATATTGTATAAGTCCACTACGGATGAAACAGACTGTTGTGGTTTTTTGAGGTAAAACGAAAAACTATATTACGCTCTATCTCATCTATATATGGTATTGAGCACTGTTTGTGTTTCGTAAACCAAAAACTTAAGCTATATATATATATATATATATATATATTGTTTGTAACATTTCAAGTTGTGTCAGTATATAATAATGTCCACCTCAGTGATACTGCATGTAAAGAGACGACTGGGGACGAATCAGAGTCTGAAGTGGTCTCAAAGAAAACTGGGACCGACCTTTTGTGATTTTCGATTATATATAATTTTAAAATTAACATGGCAATAGCTCCAGATATATAGAGAGCTCACTATACGAGTAAATTGTTAAACACGTCCGAAATCAGTACAGTATCAATACAATAAATTCGCGCAACAACTTATTGGGATAGATGAACCTGATCCTATAATCTAACACCAACTCTAACCCCTAACCCTAATATAATTTTAATCTAACCCTAATCTAATACTAATCTGACACTAATCTAAACTTGATGACCTTTTTTTTAAATTATCTCAGGTGCAAGCACATATATAGCTACTTGATTTTTTACCATTGCAAATGCAAAAGCATGCATAATCTGTTGTTTGGTACTATAAGTACTCTAAGTATAACGAGGATATATTTTCTACCAAATCCGAAGGTTTTTAAATGGCACTCGCCAACTAAGGAAATAGATCATTTAAACACTATAGAATCAGGAACAATTGTTTCTGACTAGAAATAAGAACCATGTAGTTAAGAACCAACTCAACCAGATTTCTCACCAAGTAATAATAATAATATAAAGCTTTAATAATAATCCACCTAAGGAAGAAAAATACAGTGGACTTATACAATAATATCAATCTAAAATTATAAATTACATATATTACAATAAAAATTTAAAATTTATTGTTAAAAAGTTTGGCCGAGACATAAACGATGATTTATCTATTTCAGTTCTACATATAATGTTATCTATATTAGCACCATCTTCTTTAATTCTAGTAGAATAGTTATGTTTAAGTGCTACAGGGACAAAGTAATGACATGCAGGGATGGTTTGTATCACGAATAATTGCCTCTATTTCTCGAAGAATTAGTTTCTCTCTTCTTTCGCTAATTAATTTAAACGAAGGAAGTGCGTCGAACGGCAAACCAGTAACGCGTAAATTTCGCCTTTGGATACGTTCAAGGTCGTTCACTAAGTAGAGAGGTAGGCCAAAACTGCACCAAAATTCGACCCCTGTTGAATATGCTGCACCAGTTTGCGGGCCTACCTGAGTAAGTTGCAAGACCGACTTCCGTAGGAAGGTGGGCCTTCCTCACTGATCTAATAATATCACTGTATCAGTGGCCTTCCTACTTTGCCTTAGATGGTGTAATCTCCTATTTCCTTTGTACGGTTAATTTATTTAATGTCAGAATTATATAAGAACCAATATATAGAGAATTATATAAGAACCGCACCTAATATATAAGAACCACTTCAGTCTGACATAAAATGCAGTGGTTCTTTTATGCTGGTTCGTTTTACTATATGTCAAATTAATCAAATATATGATTTTCGCATTTCGAGTTGCTCTGTACCTTTTATTACCTATATGACGGCCGTCTTCGAAACCTGTGCTTGAATTTGAAGGTTAAATACCACAAAATATCGGCCTCTAAACTGTCTAAAGACTCTCAGCGGGGATCCGTTTAGGCGGAGTGGCTCTAAAGTTTGAAATATCCTTTACAGTCAAACTTGTATTAAGCGGCACCGCATTAAGCGGTCACCCTTTATTAAGCAGTCATTTGGTGAAGTCCCGGAAATTTCATGATGTAAATTATATGAAGACTGAAGTGACCTTTAGAATTACCTCTATTACTGAGAGGACGCGGTCACTTTTCGTACAATTTCAAACATAATTTTTCATTATTGTTATGTAATTATAAGTAAACGCATGCTTTGAGGGAAATTAGTGATTAAATGAGCCCGCAAACCGAGAGAGGTTTAGTAACGGGACGGTGTCGTCAGACACTGTCCATAGTTGTACCGATGATTTTCGATACAGCTCTCCAATGAAAGGTAATGAGGTACTGTACGCTTTTGTTTCTAAATTTCCCTCATCAAGCATGCAGGGGAAAATTAGAAGACAAAGAAATCTTTTGTTTCCAACTAAATTTCCTGGGAAAATTCAGAAGACAAAAACGTATGCATGGGTAATAAGGGAAATATAGGATTTACATTCCCTCTCAGAACAATGAAAACCGAGGCTACCATGTTATTACTGTATTAAACGATCACAGTAAGAGAGGCGATGAAATCTAGTGATGCGTTGAGTTGCGTTGTGAAAATTTTCCCAATTTAATGGCATTAATTAAGAGCTTTTACAAGTTACTCAAGGGTTAATGATTTTGAGTCAAACCGTGCAAACTTAGCACACCGAAACGGCTAAAATTAGCACACCTCTGTCATTTAGTATTTGTTATAAGTTGTCATGTTCAATTCTTGTTTTCAATAACACCCTTTTTAACCGTGGTACTTGGACTTGCATTGGGAGGTCCATCAATACGTGAGTATATAGATCAACATTTTGCGCAGACACATGCATGCACTCTTAGCGTACACATTTATTATAATCCGCGCAGTAATGAGTTAAAATTTTATGAAAACGCTCGATATACTGTATTGCAGAGCGGGGCGTCGACTAACATGGATGTGAAAATTTGGCCGGAAACGTTTTATTTTATTTTCGAATTCAACTCATTTTGAATACAAATCGAACATTGACGAGACACTGCCTTCCTGATTGTAACTTTTACTTTCGCAGTAGATTTACCTACAGGAAGGATATATACAGACAGAGTATTATATTCAACTTCACTTTCAAAATAATTGTTATATTTTATATTGAATATAAAATGCGCTCTTATTTACGGTTCATATCCCAGAACTCGATTCATGGTGAACAATTCAGTAAGGCTGAAAAGATGGAACAAAGAATCAGTATTGATCAGTTAGATGCAGGTCCAGTTACTTCTCTAGATCTCAACTCAAATCATGGTTTTGGTCCATTTCCTGAGAAACGGAAAAAGCGAGCTGCACTGCTATCAGCTGCTTTGTCATTTGTTATAATGGTAGTTCTCCTTGGATGTTTCACGCAACCAAAATCCAAGTTGTACGTGGCCAACACGAGCAGCACAGTTGACGATGAAATGATATGCAAGAAAAACGACCGTGAGTATTACCATGTAGGAGTTTTTATCTGTTCTTTGAATTTGATCGGTGTTATTCTCGGGGAACTCATGAATCGGTTTTGTCTCGTGTTCGAGGAATATTTTCATCTTTATACTCGATACAGTGGGAGTAAAAAGGAAATGTTTTATGCATGTTTCAATGACATTTCATTCCGCGCTGTGTTGTTTGGTTTTCTTGTTGCATTCATTATCATCACTACAACACTGCTATCACAAGGAGCGGACTATTTTAAGTTCGAGTACATTGAAATCATCCTCAGTGGGGTTGGCAGTGGTTCCTTTGTTCTATACCTTCTCAGTCTTGATGCGTTATCTCGAGTTCAAATCTCCTCGCTGATGGAAAATAACAATCGCTTAGTGGCAAACGGTTTGGCATGGGCATACTATTTCGGTTACTTAAAGATTATCTTGCCTGCTTTGCAGGAACGGATTGAGGATTCGGAATGGAAGGATATTTTGTCATCGAAGAAGCTGTTCATTCTAATGCCTCGTGACTGCTATGCTTACGGGTCACTCAGTAGGGAGGACAATCATATTGAGATAGTACCTGGAGCAGTTATTGAATATGAACTTCACCGTGCGGGAGTATATAAGATTTATCGTCTTAACGTTTATAAGATAAACAGAAAGGATGGGAAATGTCCGCTTTATGTGCTAGCCCAGTACGCATCACCCCTCTGCTCCTTGTATTGCATGAGTCACTCGGCTGGCGTGAAGCTAAGTCGCGAGGATCGAGACGAGCAAGCAAAGTTGTTTCTTCGAACGCTGGAAGCAATATTACAATATCCGTCTGTACCTGAAGTTCGGAATAACTGTAAACTTGTGCCTTATGCAAGAAACCTGGGAGTACTTCTTTGTGAAGTGTTAGCTGAGGCAGTGTTGGAAGATCTTATGTCCAAAGATCATATGCAGTGTATTTCCCACGGTAATCACTTACTACAGTATGCTTCTGAAGTTTCTCTTGATGATTTAGATGGAGTTCGGTCAGTCAACAACGAAGACCACTAGTACTATAATACTATAATATACTTTCGTTGCTTACGGCCTTCACTTTCTGTTTCAATTTGCCCTTAGTGTTGAATTTAGATTTATTGTATTTTAGAAGTTTAGTGATCTGACGAAGTCTCACACCAATTCTGTATACTGTAGTTCACTTATTTGCATAACTGTACAAAAAACTGCCTGGTATATGGTGCTGAAATCCAGCAAACTCCGGACGATATAAACCTCTTTATAGACGCACGTCGAGAAAAACGTTAATGAAGAATTGCGTGGGAGCTAAAATTCCAGACATTTCAAGCCATGTCTGCGGTTCACTGGTTCAGCACATCGTACACATGGATCAAATTAACGTACTACCACTGTTGGATCCTTCGTTCCCAGTTCTTTTATGCAGCACTATATATTGTAATAAGTTCTTTGAATGTTTGCATGGCGATAAAATATAATTGTTTTTGTTTGTGGAAACACCACGTAAATTTATTACTGCAAAGCTTTCGATCCGTAAGCCCGGATCTTCATCAGTGCTAATAATATGTGACTTGTTTAATTCACACGCTCCTTTTATATACAAGAGTGTCGTGATCTGTTGGCTCGCGTCATTTGAAATTTAATTAAACGGCATATCAACCACGTCATTTCAAACGTAATGAAGTGATTCCAATTAACGCGCGCGCATCCAAAACAAGAGAAATTAATTTTGCACATTAAAGAGAGCACGCCACGTACTATCTAGTGGCTTTCCCTAGTATTGTGCTTCTCGATTTCAATTGACTCTCTCATTTTGCGAGAGAACTTATGACTATCAATCGCCAAAATGGTTGCCTCGTCCCATTTTATACGATGGTCGTAAGTCCAAGTATGTTTAGCCACAGCAGATTTTTCTTGCTCGGCTTTCTCGCAATTCGTCTTGTGTTCCTTAAGACGTACTGAGAGATTTCGACCAGTTTCACCAATGTAAACCAGACCACATTCACAAGGAATGCGGTACACACCAGGTTTCTGATATTCATTTACGTTGTCCTTATGTGTGCAAAGATCTCGAAACAATTTGTTTTCGCTGGAATGGTATACCTTTATACCTGCTTCATTCCTCAAAATTCTTTCGATTTTGTGTGAAGCCGGACCAATGTAAGGTAGACAAACAGACGACTGATATTCAATCTTCTGCTGTATACTTTGTGGCGTTTTCATAGCATTATCTATGAAATGCCGTGGGTAATTAATAATAATATTAATAATAATATTAATTACTATATATTGTGTTCGCTTTATCCTGCATGACCCAAATTCCTGGGCAGCGGCGTAGCCAGCTCGGATAATTAGGGGGGTCCATATTCATATATTCGTGTTCACAGACCTTAAAGACAATAGATTTCAAAAGAAATTAATAATGCAGAACACGAATATATGAATATGGACCCCCCCCCCCCAATTATCGAGCTGGCTACGCCGCTGTTCCTGGGAACGAGGTTGCCCTAATCCTAAAACTTATCAAGACGTATTCATGGCACATAACTCTTGCCTTTATCCAAACATAAACTGCAGTTCATCGTAATCCTCAGAAACCCAATTGCGATCTGCCATTGAAGGATTATGGAGGTGTTGAAAATGAAAAATCTATCGGAAAAAGAAGTTTCGGTTTTGTAATTCGACAAAGCCAGTCATAAAAATGAAACAGGATAGTTAAAACGATTGCTAGCTACAATAATTTTCAAATGTGTTAGGACAGACTCCCTAACTACCTATTATTTTGTCAAACTTCCACTCCCTCCCCCTTTCAATGTTGAATCTCAGTTACCGTCTTACTTTGATGTGTGATCTGGTAAACAACATTGACGGGGGAGGGGGAGGGAAGATATATGGATGTTTGCAATAATTTGCATATATCCACTGATGTTGTAAAACCGCAAGTGTCCCAACAACTTTTGAAAATGATTGTAGTCTGTTGAGGATGAAAATTTGTTTACCAGACGTCTTAAACACAAGATAGAGATCAGATGAAATTGATTTGAATTTTGCAAAAATCTGTACCAAGTCTGGAATTATTTAGAGCGAGATTTAATATTGACCCGTCCAATGATAACGTATACGTCATCATTAGACGGGTCAAAGCATTAGACGGGTTAAGGCGGGGGTCTACCTGAACACCACGGTTTTATAGTGGCGTTATTTGAATCACAATAACAGAAAGGGTTTTGGTCTGAACCATGACAACCCATATATCATTATGAAGGTAAAGGAATCTGAAATTTTCATTGGTTTAGTCCCAGGTCGCATTAAAACCTGACACCGGTCAATTAATTAGGCCACATGCTGATATCTTTCCTTCATTCAAATTTGGTATTGTTTTCTGTTTCTTGCACAGGAAGAACTAAACTCTGGGATGAGCGGAGGATATTTTGAAATTGTAAAAGCAACTTATATTTTTTTGTGGCTCTAACCAAGATGGAAAAATCGAGCAGTTTTTACATTATAAGTTTTGTATAATTAATACAACAAAAAAATTCTCCGCTTATCCCAGAGAGTATTTTCAGATGAAGCAATCCTGAAAATTTGAAGTAATTTGGACTATACAATTACTTTATGGTTTCCGTGTTTGGATGGCCTGCATGATGCAAACACGCGGGAATGTTGCGAGAGTTAAGAAAAGCGCGCGAAACACGAGCCGAAGGCGAGTGATTTATAAAATAACAACTATTGTATTGGACATTTCTAAGTATACAATTCTGATGTACAGCCATTTCTTTTTCACCATTTACTTGATTAGCAATGTTTTAAATATTGATTTTTCTACCATTGCTTCCAAATCATGTTACGTATTGCATCACCATTCACTCAGTTTTCCTGCTGTTTGATGTTTGCCTTAAAAGATATCCCTCTATGTTAACTTTAAAGGTCATCCCAATCTAGCTCTCAATTGGTATAGCTAAATTTTCCATAATTTTCTTCGCCAATTCACTTGCTGCTAATGAGGATGTGTAAAGGTGCACACAACACTCATTGTGCTACCGCAGACCAATACTGACCACCGCACACTGTTTTTTGTACACAATTGCTGACATCAAATTACATGATTTGGCAAAATAAATTTGGTTATATCTGTTTTCTTGTCCCATTGGTGCAAGTGGTGCACTCGATAAACATATTCGGCCCAAAAGAAGCTCCCAAACTTGGTAACGTGTGACATGTAATTGCAGTAGTTGATGGAAATTATCGAGTGGAAATTTATATACATTTTATTAGACCTAACCCGGAACAGCTGTGAAAAATGTAACTTTAGGTCCTAGGCAGGAATTGAACCTGTCAAACTTAGATTCTTGCACTTCACTTGGTGGAATTAATATTAGGATGTTAGGGTTTGTAATCCAAGTGAGAATATATACATTTTAAGACCTAACCAGGAATGACTGCGAAAAATGCAGCACAAGGTCCTCTGGTAGGAATTGAACCTACGGCCCTGCGATTCCGGTGCAGCGCTCTAACCAACTGAGCTACAGAGGCCAGCTCAGCTGTTGAGCTGTAACCGTAAGTTCATGTATATATAGGTAATCGGGTGTGTATATATTCTCACGTGTATATATTGTGTAAAATGTATATATTATCACTTGGATTACAAACCCTAACATCCTAATATTAATTCCACCAAGTGAAGTGCAAGAATCTAAGTCATTCAAGTCCACCTTATCACAACCCGCGCACCCGATTACCTATATATATATATATACATGAACTTACGGTTACAGCTCAACAGCTGGCTTCTGTAGCTCAGTTGGTTAGAGCGCCGCACCGGAATCGCAGTGCCGTAGGTTCAATTCCTACCAGAGGACCTTGTGCTGCATTTTTCGCAGTCGTTCCTGGTTAGGTCTTAAAATGTATAGATTCTCATTTGGATTACAAACCCTAACATCCTAATATTAATTCCACCAAGTGAAGTGCAAGAATCTAAGTCATTCAAGTCCACCTTATCACAACCCGCACACCCGATTACCTATATATACATGAACTTACGATTACAGCTCAACAGCTGGCCTCTGTAGCTGAGTTGGTTAGAGCCGCTGCACCGGAATCGCAGGGCCGTAGGTTCAATTCCTACCAGAGGACCTTGTGCTGCATTTTTCGCAGTCGTTCCTGGTTAGGTCTTAAAATGTATATATTCCTAATATTGAACCTGTTACCCTGCGATTCCGGTGCAGTGCTCCAACCAACTGAGGTACACAGGCCAGTTGTCAAACTCTAACCACAAGCTCATCTATATAGGTACTAGCTGCCATGTTTTAGGTTATGGATAAATATTAAGAATTTGTTGGCATACCGGTTAGGTCTAATAAAATGTACGTAATATAAATTTCCACTCGATAATTCCATCAACTACACACTTCAACTATTGAATCGAGTGAGATGCAAACAAAATCTCAATGATTGATAATAGACAGACAGTGGACAGATTGACTGATAGGCTAACTTAGGGAACATTAACTATGACTAAATTCAATGCTAGATCACAGCGCGAATAAGTCGACGAATAGTACGAATAGTCGACGAATAGTACGAATAGTCCGCGAATAGTCGACGAGTATAGTACGAATAGTCCGCGAATAGTCGGCGAATAGTACGAATAGTCCGCGAATAGTCGACGAATGGTACGAATAGTCGAGGAACAGTGCAATAGAGACTTTGCAAGGCTTTGCACCAGTGCTGTAGAACTAAATTTACCGGAGCGGGGGAGGGGGCTCTATGGACAAATATGAAATCGTGAAAACATTCGTTGACCGGCTCTTAAAGCTTACCAGTGCCGTAGGAAACTCGATAATTGGGCGGGAGGGGGTATATTCATATATTCGTGTTCACAGACCATAAAAACAATCGATTTTACAAGAAATTAATAACGCAGAACACGAATATATGAGTATGAGCCCCTCCAATTATCGAGCTTGCTACGGCACTGCTTACGCTAGTATATTTGAGCTTACGCTAGTATATTTAAAGCCCATGGCATGTCGAGTCCGTAATGTAAACAAATCCTTTGTTTACATTTTGAAATGCTATATTTGTAAAATAAGACATACTAACTGAATACATCTAACACTCTACATCTAACAAGTTTGAATGATGCAAAATGTGGGCAATTTTTTATATCTATGGGTCCCCCCTTTGTTATGAGCAGAACTGATGCGCAGAACGGACTTGACATGGTCTTTAGCAGTAACTGTATATTTAACAGGAAGTAGAATGACAATCACTAGAATGACATTTTCCACTGGGCGAATTTGTTCGCGCGAAGCGACAAGTAAAAGAGTAGGATCTGATCCAACCTCGTTCCCAGGCTCTTTGCTCTTTGCTTCACAAGAGCAAAGAGCCTGGGAACAAGGTTGGATCTGACCCAACTTTTTCGCGGCGATTTTTTTCGCTGACCAATCACATTGCCGAAATTTGGATTTCGCTACGAGCGAACAATTCGCCCCAAAACAGGCTTAAATAATAGACAGAACTTTTTATTTAAACATACTAACCATTGTCAACCTAGGCTGATTTCCACAAGAGACGTGTACAATAATAACATTACAAAGATATAGTATATAGTAAGATATTACATACAGTATATATATATATATATATATATATATATATATATATATATATATATATATATATATATACTTATGATTTTGTTTATATATATATATATCTCTATATATATATATATATGTAATATATTTTTTTGTTTTTCTTTATATATCTATAATAGTCTGTTTTATCTGTATAGGAATCATCAGGTGGTGAATAATTTCGAAATTGTAGGTTGCTTTTATGCTATCGAAAGAATGTGCGGAATGCGTGTAGGCGAAACAATGCTTAGGTGAAACAATGCATGCTTGTGTCATTAGGTTTTGTTAACGACCTTGTTTACTCGAAACCGGTTTTTGTGACGACATTTGCCGAAAATTTCGCTTCTTTTATTGAGTAAATTGTCTTTGTTTATGTCTTTCAAAATGCGAAATTTTTCTTCGGAACATAAATTGCAGCGTTTTGCTCCCCCTGTGTACGAAATAGCGTGTTTTAAAATTGACCATCTGATGGTATAATCCTAATTGACCATCAAATTGACCATTTGATGGTATAATCCAAAATTTTGCATTTTGAAAGACATAAACAAAGACAATTTACTCAATAAAAGAAGCGAAATCAGGTCGGCAAAATCGTCACAAAAACCGGTTTCGAGTAAACAAGGTCGTTATCAAAACCTAATGACCCAAGCATACATTCTACCAGTAAACTTAATCACCCATACCTCCCGATGGGCATGAGTAAGTTAAATTTTCGTCGTCATTCCCATCATGCACCTCGTCAGTTAAAATAGTTGTAAACAAATTTTAGTAAGTTTATTCAAAATAGTTTTAGAAATATCTCTAACTACTTTTAAACCCATTACCAAACTTCGTGGCTTTCTCTGTGTTTGGTGGAACCGTTGCTTCTCCAGTAGTGGAAAAAACTTGTCCGAAGCAAAACGGGAACACATTTTGTTTTGGTCCGCAGGTTAGGGACACGCACATTATGCTGGAATTTCTTTTAGAATAATAGGGTTTTTTTCGAAACCAAGAATAATAGACAAAAGCGGGAATAGGCCAACGTGTCGGTATGGCGTCATCGTGCCAACGTAAATTCCGTAATTAGCATATGCGCCATCATGCTGACGCCGGGGCGTGCATCAACCTCGCAAGCCAGGGTCTTTATACCTCCGCGGGCTACGGCAAAGACCCTGGTTGACACTGGTCACGTGACCCACAAAAAATAATCGCCACATGAGGTCCCTAGGGGGGGTGGTTGAAATACGATATACTGTTAATAGCAGCTTCCGGTTTGATATCTTGTTTCGCAGGAGTGAGCGGGACATATTATAATTCGAGACTTTGAGTGGAAATTTGACAGCGAATTGATTTATAATAATAGCCTCAAAGATGCAAAAGGATTCGAAATGCCTGCATTTTCTCGTGTGTTTACACTTTTCTATTATCCATAGTTTATATTCCGATGTTAATTTAAAGCCGAAGCAGGTAATCTGTTTGGAAAAGATTTTTTTGGGCGAAGATATATTGGCTGTCCTTCCTACTGGTTATGGCAAGTCTTTAATATACCAACTTTTACCTTTAATTCTGTTTCGTAAGAAGGTGTTCGAAGAATATCCCAATCGAGGTATTATATCCATTGGCGACGTAACTACAGTATTACTGGTAATATCGCCGTTAAACTCCTTAATAAGCGACCAAATTCGCAAGTTATTGACGACGGGTCTTAGGGTGTCCTCACTAAATGTATCACAGCAGTCCACAACTGATGACAACGCGGAGTTTGATGTTGATAAGCATGGCAAGAAGGAAGAACTTGCCAGTGGTTGTTATAACATATTATTCGCCCATCCTGAGGCATTCATCTCGTGTAAATTTGGACGAGAACTGGCTAACAGTCCAATATATCAAAAAAATGTCTGCGCCATTGTAATTGATGAAGCTCATTGCATTCTTGAATGGTAGGTTTCAAATCAGAATTATAAGTTTGCTTCTTTTTCCTGCTGAAACTCAGAATTTTACCCTTTAATATAATCTTTTCGATATAGCTTTATCTGTTAGTTACAGTATTATCAATTTATAGGGCCACATACATGGAAATGTCTGCTGCTTTTTTTTTTAGTTTTTTTAGATATCATTAGCTAAAATATCGCATTATTGATATTGTATTAATTTTGTTTAGGGGAGATGATTTCAGACCAGCCTATGGGAAACTTATCATGCTGTGTGCAACATTTCCCAATGTACCAGTAATTGCAATGACTGCTACAGCTAATAACATCGACCGGATGCAAATAAAGGAGTCACTTGGTTTGGAAAATTGCTATGAATTGGTTGCTAACCCTGATAGAAGTAATATTTTTTACGAAAAAATATTCAGACATGGTCAAGATATTGATGCTTTTGAGAATATTTGTAGACCAATTGCTATTGACCTGCTGGACATGAAAATTGACTATCCTCTAACAATTATTTACATGCCTTTGAAATGGTGCGGTTTTGTGTACAGGCTTTTCGAAAGTATCCTTAATATTCATCAATATCATCCTTTTGGTGCCATGCCACTTCCAAAGAATAGACTGTTTGCCCAATTTCATGCGCCACAAACAGCCAGAATGAAGGATGAGATTCTGCTACAATTGAGCATGGAAACACCGAAGGTCAGAGTGGTTTTTGCTACAGTAGCCTTTGGAATGGGAGTGGATATTCCTTCAATCAGGCACATTATACACATTGGACCCCCGAGAACAATACGTGAGTATTTTCAAGAAACTGGGAGAGCATGTCGAGATGGGAAATATTCAAAAGCTATCCTCTATTATAATAATAGGGATATTGGAAAAAACAAACAAGGGATCCAGGATGAAATAAGAACATTTTGTCGTAGTGAAAACCAATGCTTACGATGTTTGCTTTTGGAATGTCTTGACATCAACAAACCAGAGTCATTTTCACCAGGACATTTGTGTTGCAGCGTGTGCATGAAGGCTTGTTCATGTATTGAGTGCAGTTTAATACAGTGACGTAAGAACTGTCTTTGGGTTGATGAAACACTGTCTGTTTCCTGGCACATTCAACAACTAGTGCTAAATACCATTAGCAGAATCATACTAGTATACTATCGCAAATGCTGTAATTTGATTGGCTACTCTACTCACTACCTATTCCTCGATAGATAGCGAGTAGCAAAACAATAATTTCCCTAGCCCATTTTTTTAAGAAAATTGCTTTCAGTCTGCATGTTTCATTGTTTTTGTGCAATATTTTATATTTGATCTCTGATTCTACTAAAACAATTAGATTACTTGCTCTCAATTTCTATGAGGTGACAGTTGATCCGGGCTTTGCCTTCATCAACTTCACGTCATAGAAATCTGGAGCTCGTAATCTAATTATTAAATAGTAAATTGGAGAAATCATACTGTTTAGTACCATTCATTATCGCAACTATTTGTCACAACTATATAA